ACGTGGGTGTCGGACAGGCATTTTCTCAAAGATTAATGAAGTGAGCCTGTCACTCGGAGGAAAACACCTGATGGCATTTGCTGTCAAAGATAAAACTTGAGCTTCTAAGTGAAAACTGGAATTTTAGAAAACTTGTATCACTACCATGGGCCTGCTGCTTGCCCCACACTGTACCCGGTGACCCACACGGCCAAGTGACCAGTGCGAGACGTCACAGATCACATGGGAGAAGGACTCACTCAAAGTACGAGACGGGCCATTACTCTGGTCCTCGTGGTGTCAGATTTTACACTGCAATTAATTTGAGAAATTACTGCTTGTTTCGTTGCAATAGCAAAGAACAGCTACGACTATTTTTAAAGACTTTTGAAATACCTTTGCCAACTAGGTTTTACTCACATATAGTGTGAGGCTGGATTTTAATCATTTACTTCAACCAAAACAACAGACTGCAAACACTGAATGCAGAAGCCGACAGGACCATCAAGTTAGTGTCCATGCAGGGACCTCCCTGGTAGTCCAGTGGTAAAGAATCTGCCTTCCAATGCAGGGGACACGGGTTTGATCCCTGGTCGGAGAACTAAGATCCCACGTGCCACGGGGCAACTAAGCCTGCGCACCACAATTACTGAGCCTGTGTGCCTCAACTAGAGCTCACGTGACGCACCTACAAAGCCCACACGCTCTGGAGCCCATGTGCCACTAGAGAGAAGCTTGGGTGCTGCAATGAAAGATCCCACATGCTGCAAGGAAGATTCCGCGTGCCGCAACGAAGACCCAACACAGCCAAAAAATAAATTAATTAATTAAATTATTTTTTAATAAAATAAAAAATTAAAAAAAATAAAATCTGTTGACAATAAAAAACAGTGTCTATGCAGCCCGACATTATAGAAATTGGGAAAAAATAAACAAAACAGTGCCACTCTTACTACTTTGAGGGGTTTTGGAAACTACAGGTTTTTTAAATTTAAGAAATGTTATTTATGTTAATGTAATGGGTTTATTACTGTTAATTTTAATAAATTAATAAATATCTTAAAATTTATCAGTTTTAATTTCTAATATGGTAAATATTAGTAGATTTAACCCACATAAACAAACACTGTTTGGGTCCCCAATATTTTCTAAGAGTGTAAAGAGGTCCTACTGCTGATGAGTTTGAGGATTTCTGGCCTAAGTAAATGCCCTTGATTAACTGACCCAGAAATATACACAGGAGTGGTCACCACAACATGATTTGTAATAAGGGGGAAACAATGTCCCTTCAATAAGAGAAAGAAAAAATGGTGACATATTCTTTATGGAATAAATGGAATATTGGAATACTATACAGCTGAGATACAAATGTGTATGTGTACATGTATACACACAGATCTCAAATAGATACACACACACACACACACACGCACAGATCTCAGGAACACATTGTTGAGAAGAAAGAGAAACTGAAAAGATCTGTACAAGATGGTGCCAGTGATTTCTATTTTAAAAAAACAAATACTACATTTTGTTTATGGAACATATACCTTCGGGAGGCTACCCACCAGGTTCACAATCATGACCGCCTGTGAGAGAGAGGAGGGAACAGCACTAGGAGGGGACAGTGGGCACTTCACCTCCTACCTGTAACATTCCATTTCTCTTATTTAAAAAGGGACGGGGTTCCCTCCTCCTGGCCACAGAGCAAGCCTGCTTTAGGGCAGCCTCTCCTCCTTACTTCCCTGAGAGGGACACTGCCTACTAGAGACCTCTCCTGGGAGCTGCTGGAATCCAAGTAGTGTACAGCCTTGACTGCTGGGAATCTACTCATACTGGCTGTTATTAAAGATTTTGTTATAGCCCACCTGAAACCTCAGTCAATGCTGTAAGGATGGGATTTACAAACCTGCATTTACCAGCCTGTTAATTTTTAAGTGCCCCTTTCTATATGTTTCTATTTCGGTCCTATATTTTCCACTACTATTTAATCTACTTTAAACCAAAGGGTTCTCCATTTCTGTGGGAGTTTATACTGCTCTCAGCTCTGTCTGATCTCCAGTGCCCAGGGTTTCTTCGGTGTGTGAACAATGGAGGAAAACTTGGTATGTGAACAATGGAGGAAAACTTGACTCAAAAGTTTTCGTGCCCCAGCAAAGGAAACAAAATGAAACAAAAAGACAACCTACGGAATGGGAGAAAATTTTGCAAAGGATGCAACTGATTAATTTCCAAAATATACAAAACAGCTCATACAGCTCAGTAACAACAACAACAACAAAAAACCCAATCCAAAAATGAGCAGAAGACCTAAATAGACATTTCTCCAAAGAAGACACACAGATGGCCAATAGGCACATGAAAAGATGGTCAACATTGCTAATCCTTAGAGAAATGTAAATCAAAACTACAATGAGAAAAAAAAAAAAAAACTACAATGAGGTACCACCTCACACCAGTCAGAGAGACCATCATTAAAAAGTCTACAAATAACAAATGCTGGAGAGGGTGTGGAGAAAAGGGAACCCTCTTACACTGTTTGTGCAAATGTAAATTGGTGCAGCCACTATGGAAAACAGTAGGGACGTTCCTCAAAAAACTAAAAATAGAGTAGCCATATGATCCTGCAATACCATTCCTGGGCATATATCCAGAGAAAATTATAATTCTAAAAGATACATGCACCCCAACGTTCACTGCAGCACTATTTACAATAGCCAAGATATGGAAGCAACCTGAATGTCCATCTAAAGATGAACGGATAAAGAAGATGTGGTATACATACAGGATGGAATAATATTCAGCTATAAAAAAGAATGAAGTAATGTCATTTGCAGCAACATGGATGGACCTGGAGATTATCATACCAAGTGAAGTAAAAGTCAAGCAAAGACACATATCATATGATATTGCTTATATGTGGAATCTTAAAAAAATGACACAAATGAACTTACTTACAAAACAGAAATAGACTCACAGACATAGAAAACAAACTTACGATTACCAAAGGGGGAAGGGAGGGAATTAAATTAGGAGTTGGGAATTAAAATATACACACTGCTATATATAAAATACATAACCAACAAGGACCTGTGTATAGCACAGGGAACTATACTCAGTATCTTGTAATAACCTATAATGGAAAAGAATCTAAAAAAGAGTGTGTGTGTGTGTGTGTGTATATATATATATAATCTGAATCATTTTGCAGTACACCTAAAACAAATACAACATTGTTGGACTTCCCTGGTGGTCCAGTGGTTGAGACTCCATGCTTCTACAGCAGGGGAGCAGTTTGAGCCCTGGTCAGGGAACTAAGATCCCACATGTCTGTCGTGCGGCAGGGGGTGGGGGGGACTAATACAACATTGTAAATCAACTGTATTGCAATAAAAAACTTTTTTTAAGTCTTTGTGCCTGATTATTTTTGGCCTTTCAAGAGTAAATTTATTATTTCCAATCAAATATTCAACAAACATATAAAAAGAAAACAAGTATAGAAAGAAAAAGGTGTGTAATCCTCAGAGGAAAAAAATCAGGGATTTCAAGGGACTAAGCAAGGGGAAAACTCCATGGTAAGCTCAGCTAGAAAGCCAGGCTTCCAAATCTGTACCGTCCTGCAGATGTGATGCTGCCACACAGCATCATGTCACCCGCCCTGGCAGCTGCGTGACCTCCCCCCAGCGGTCTTCCACATTTGTCAATTCTCATCATGGCGCTCGGCTTTTAAAAATCAATGGGAGGAGATCTGTGCCCAGTCCACAGGAGCTCAGGGGTTGATGGGAATTTCTCTGGTGGACAGTCGCCCTCATTTCAAAGGACATCTGCTCCCCAGGATATTCCTTGGTCCCTCACTGAGCACCTACTATGTGCCAGGGACACAAAATGAATGAAGTGAGGGTTGAAGCAAGGATGCACACTACCACACGGATGAACCTCAACAATCATGCTAACTGAAAGCAGCCAGACACAGAAGACGGTTTGGTGTATGATTGCATTTATGTGAAATGTCCAGAAAAGGCAAATCCATAGAAACAGGAAGCAGATACTGATCTGGCTGGGGCGAGGAGTGGACAGTGACTGCAGACGGGCATGAAGGGTCTTTGTAGGATGAGGAAATGTTCTACAACTGGACTATGGAGATGTTGTACAACTATGTAAATTTACTAAAAGTCGTTGAATTGTATGATTTAAATGGGTGAATATTATCAATAGTGACTTTTCACAGCTGACAATTCACTTCTGCTTGTCGACCAACATTTCCTGAATTTGTAGGGCAGTCCTGGCCTGAGCTGCACAGCCTGGGCATTCACCATCTGCAGGAACTTAACCTGTCCCCTCTGCATCCAGATGGTGCCCGGCATGTCCCATCTTTGGGAGAACTGAGAAAATCTCTGGAGTAAGTCTGGGAATGGAACCCCAGATGAGATTTTTCTGCAGGTTGCAGGCTGTACAAAAATCAACACTAAAATTGGATCCCATCAAGTCTAAAGATTTCATTAAAATAATTTCGGAGGTTTTTAACCCACTGATAAATTTTCATTATAATTTTACATGAAAAGTTCAAAGGATGACAATTCTATTTCATGCAGTATTTTTTAAATTAAAAAACGAAATGCTGTTCTAAGTGAGATCAAGGAATTTAAAAATCTTAGTTCCTTTAAAAACTATGAAAGAATGAGCTCAGAGTGTCACAGATGAAGTGACAAGAAAAGATACCGCCTAGGTCACGAGGGCACTTTTAATCAGCTGGAGGCTTTCCAGTGCCCACAGTGCATTCAGGGCCAAAGCCCCCACATGCCCACGCCGGCTCCCTCTGGAGGCCGTGATCAGCCACTCGGCGGGTCCCGCCCCCGCCCCTTGTGACAGCCCCGCGCGAGGTGAGGCCAGGCCGGCGGAGGCGAAGACGCGGTCCCCCGACCCCGGGCCCTTGCAGGTCACTGCCCGCAGCGCGGCCCAACGAGGGACAGAGCCCGCCCTCCCGGAGGACACGGCCCAGGCCCAGGCCAGTCTGGACTCACTGCGGCCGCAGCCGGCTCACCCGAACACATGCTCCGAGCTCCAGACCCTCATCGTCGCCCACGCAGAACCCGGCGCGGGGTGCTCCAGGCCCAGGGAAGCTCCAGGCCCGGGATGCTCCGCTCCGCGGGGGGCGGGGCGTGTGGACGCGGTGTGTGGGGCGTTTAGGGAGTGGGCGGGTCGGGACTGGGCGCCAGCCCATCACGAGAGCGGCGGCACCACGGCTGCGCGGAAGGGACTGGCAGTAGCTGTGCCGGCGGCCGCAGGCACGGACTACGTGGCGGGGCGGGGCCCCTGGTGCCGCTGCGGAGATGGGGGCGGGGCTCGTTCTTACTGGTCAGGTGGTCCAAATTCTCCCAAAGCTCCTTCCAGCCACGCCGCTTCCCACTGTTGGGAAGGATAAGGAACAGTGTGTCCCACCAGCCCGACAAGTCTCTTCGCGGAGTTGGGGGGCGGGAGGGAGGAAGCAGCCGGTGTGGAACGGCCTTAAACCAGAACGTGAGGCCCCTCGCAGGCAGTCCGCTGTGTGGTTCGAAGACCCCACGAAATCCAACCCTTTATGTAGCCAGGCAGGTGCGACCCTCGAGACCCGGATGTCAAGTGAGAGCACTGACGGCACCGCTTGTCAGAGCTCATCCTAAGTTCACCCGGCAATTGGAGTGACCACTTGGGTTCACTACTTGTCTTTGTCCAAAGGAGAAATATATTTCTCATTCCCATAGGAGGTAGGGTTGCAGCCTGAAGCCAGGTGCTCCCTGTAAGTTAGGCTAATGTTTCAAAAGGATGGCTCCCAAGTCCCTGAGAAAAAACATTCCTGGGTTGTTCAGCTGGCCAAAGGCCTACTTAGCCTTTGAAAACATTTACATAGGACTTTGCTGGTGGTGCAGTGATTAAGAATCCGCCTGCCAACTCAGGGGACATGGATTCGAGCCCTGGTCCAGGAAGATCCCACATGCCTCAGAGCAATTAAGCCCGTACGCCACAACTACTAATCCTGCACTCTAGAGCCTGCAAGCCACAACTACTGAGCCCATGCGCCACAACTACTGAAGCCCGCACGCTCTAGGGCCCTCATGTTTCAACTACTGAGCCCGCGTGCCTAGAGCCCATGCTCTGCAACGAGAGAAGCCACTGCAATGAGAAGCACAGGCAGCGCAACGAAGAGTAGCCCCTGCTCGCCGCAACTAGAGAAAGCCCGCGCGCAGCAACAAGGATCCAAAGCAGCCAAAAACACTTTTTTTTAATTAAAAATAAATAAAAACATTTAAATAGATCTCAAAAAGACAACTTAGAAGTGTTTTAGAGTAGATGCTCTAAGAAAGGGTAAAGGAGAGACCCTTTCCCTTTTGCACTCGGGAAAAATCATTTTTACTCTAGATTTGTATTTACCCTGCACTTCTACAAATACAGTTCAAATGCAGAGAAGCGAGATGCTAGTTTGAGAAGAGGGTGACCCTCTGCAGAAAGAGCTGGGGTGTAAGGGCAGCACCCAGCTCAACACCCACAGCGAGAAGTCATCCCGAGCCTACCTCTGCGATGAGTCAGTGAAGTGGGGACAGAGCAGAAGCAGCCCAAAGACCTGGGCTAGGACCCTGGCCCCACCATCTCCACGCTCCACACACTCCACCTTTGCCACCTGTGCTCTAACCTCACGGCGATCTTCCCATGTCAGCGCTGCTGCCCATTTTATTAGCGAGCAGACTGGGGTTTGAGGAGGTGTAAAAGTGCGCTGAGTGATCACACTCTGAGGGCAGAGCTGAGATGAGTCCCCCACAGCCATGCTGCAGTGACTGGCCGTTGTGGCCAGCTATGGAACACGCCCTGTGCTGGGCTCTGAGCTCAGTGCTGTCATTCTGGCTTTAAAAAGCATCATCATTGGACTTCCCTGGTGTCACAGTGGTTAAGAATCTGCCTGCCAACGCAGGGGACACAGGTTCGAGCCCTGGTCCGGGAAGATCCCACATACTGTGGAGCAACTAAGCCCGTGTGCCACAACTACTGAGCCTGCGCTCTAGAGCCCGCGAACCACAACTACTGAGCCTACATGCCACAACTACTGAAACCCTCGTGCCTATAGCCCATGCTGCGCAACAAGAGAAGCCACCGCAATGAGAAGCCCGTGTACTGCAATGAAGAGTAGCCCCCACTCACCGCAAGTAGAGAAAAGCCCGCGCACAGCAATGAAGACCCAATGCAGCCATAAATAAATAAATAAATAAATAAATAAATAAATTGCCGTCTCTCAAACCACTGAAAAAAAAAGTTTTTTAAAAAAACAGCATCATCATTTACAATCAGCATTTTCCACAAACACGATTGACCATGAGGCTGAAGAAATTGGGCCGATGGTGACAGTCAGAAGACACTGCAGTGAGAGTTTGTGGGGAAACCAAGACCCTAGCCAGGAAACATCTCTGTAGAGACACTACTTAGTGGTGGAGCTGGGGCCTGAGGGCAGGAGTGCAGTGAGGGTGGCCTTCAGGCTCACTGTGACCTGCACCCGCCTCGCCTTCAAAGCCATCTCACACACAGCTGTTGGGTCCCAGCGGCCAAGCCCGGCTCAGGTGTCAGCACCTCTGTGGTTCCATCACTACTTCTACGTACTTGCATCTGAGACTTTACCACCACGTGTTATGACCAGCAGAAACTAGGTTATCATTATCCTTGTTACTTCCAGAGTCAGAAACCTAATAGGCACACAATAAATCAATGACTGTTGAACACAGATGAACGTCACACCTGGCTTCAAGTCCTATACTGCTACCTCCATTGTTGGTCAAAGACCACCGTTTCACTCACTCTGTTCCACCAAGTCTGGTCCAGGAGCAGCAGAGCTGCTCGGGAGCCTGTTAGAAATGGAGACCCCTGGCCCCACCACACAGCATCTTGGGAGCTGTGCCCCACTTCACATCTAAACCTTTCAAAGCAAGAGTCCGCAACTGCTCTTCCCGCTCCTTTACTGCTATGTATTCCACCGCAGGCTGGAACGGGCTCCCGAAACCTCTCGTTAGTCATCAGTAACCATCGCACTTCCAGTCCAACGGGTGCTGTTCTGTCCCCCTCCCCTGGGCCTCTGTGCTGCATGAAAAGTATTGGGCTTTCTCTCCTGGGACCTCTGCTCCCTCTGCATCCTCTGTACTGGTCCTTCCCAGGATACACGCCTCTTCCCTCTCTGTTCTTCCCCCTCTACACCTGCTCCCTGAGTGATTCACTGAGTGTCCTGGTTTCCACTAAGTCCCCAGCCTGCCTCTCCATCTCATTCCTACCCATCTTTCCAGTTGCCCACAGGGTGTTCTCTAGGTCCTACTTCAAACGCATCATGGCCACGCATCTCCCACCTTAAATAGACTCCTCTCCTAGGATTCACTGCCCAGGTCCCTGGCATCACCCAGGTGCCCCAAGCTAGACCCGGACCCCTACATCCAAACAATCATCAAGTCCTTTGGGATTTACCTCTTCTAGATTGTTTTAATCCCTTACTTCTTCCGCATTAAGAGCCAATACGATTTAATAGTTGTAGCTGAAGGCATGGGTTTGAAGAGGAACAAACCTGGGTTCCAGTCCTGGCTCCCATTCTGCAAATTGCTAACCTCTCCAAATGTCAGTATCATCATCCTTGACATGGGAACGCTACTAGTAAAAAAACAAAGTCCTTTGGGACTTGTGGGAATTAATGAGGACAGAGTACATGACTGTGGTTAGTATTGCTGTCACCGTCCCTGCTGACTCCTGACCTGGCTCCATCCAGCACCACCCTCTCCAGGTTCCTGCACAGCTCCCTAGCTGGCCCCTCAGAGCAGTGTCCCATCATCCTGCCACACCCCCTCCAGAGCTCTGTTTGGCCGTACCCTGGGGTGGTCCTCGGCACCCTCGTCCTCCTGCGGCTGCTCCCGATACCTCCATCGTTACTCTCAGCACATTGTTTTAGAATTACTGCACCAGTTTGTGTTTCTGTCTCTCTCACCAGATTATGCTTATTAAGGAAGCATGTGTCTAGGCTCAACCTCTCTCTTAGCTTTTGAATTGTTATCTCTGGGGTGAGGCCCAGGAACAGGCATTGTTAATGAGCAGCCAAGGCAATCACAGCACTCTGGAGTTTGGAAAGGCGTCCTGCACTAGACTGAGCTCTGGGATGGGACCAGGCCTGGCTCATTTCTGTGTGCCCACGCTCGGTCCCAGTACCTGGCAAACAGTGAGCTCCAGATAAGTGCTTGTTCAGTGAGTCAAGGATGACTCCAAGGGCATCACGAACCTGGGAGCAGGTTGGCCAGGGTGGGTGGGGCTCCATCTGTTGTCACCACTACAGAGCCACCTGGTCGAGTTTAGGAAACCCTAGTGCCTTTGTGGGTCACCTGTGGGGTAAATTGAGAGGCTTTTCAACCAGTGGTCCTAGTCTTTTTTGTTAATCTATTCACATTTTATATATTGAGATTCGGTGTCAAAATTTCACTTTTACAAGAGTCTGCTGCTAAAAATAAATAAGTTTGAAAACTGCTGTACCAGAATAGCTTTTTAATTTAGATAGAAAATCAATCTCCCAGCAGGTAAGGAGTTTTGAAGAACTTTTGGAGACGTTCCTTTCCCACTGTCATGGATATTCTTCATTAGGCTCTGATGTTTAATTGACCCTGAAATACAATGATCATGAAGATCTGACTTACAGGGATTCCTCAACCCTCCATGCAGTTAACACAAGAGGGCAGGAGGGCAGGATTCCAGCCGGCACCATCAGCATCTAGATCTTCCAAGATCCTATGTAGGAATATTATTGTTATCCAGAGACAGTTCTCTAACCAGAGTCAGAACTATCCTGAACCTCAACACAGCCAAGATATTCTCATGTTTTATTAAAACAGTATATCTCTGTGACCTTTTACTTTCTATGGTATATGCTTCTATGTAATTAATTCCTCTTCCCAACCCTTAAATACAATTCCTGAAGTAAGTCTCTACAATAAGTAGTCTAACTTTTCCTCCTTATTTCTGTTTCTGGGCACTTTAATTCTATCCAATTCCCATTATGCCTCTGGCATTGCAAAGATGGCTTATGACCAAGGGGCCTGGTGTCCAAAACAATCATCAGTTTTCTCTCGAGAAGATACAACTAGGAAAAATCTAGGAACTTTATGATTTTTGTGCACTACTGTGACCAACAGTTTTAGAAAAATGTTTGATCACTACCAAGTAAAGTGGTGACTAGGAATATTCTAAATGTTCTGCTACTGTCATTCATGAAACTTGCATCGTTAGGGTTTGATGTTGTAATTCATTCTCTTATTTGTTGTCATGTAGGAGATATTAATATTGTGTCTTTAGATTCCTTTACTTGAGGCACATTACCAGGAACAGCAGCACAAGTCATGACCACAGACGGAAAATACCACATCAGCTTCACCTTATAGAAAATAATTAGCATTGTTATAGATTAACAACAGTAACATCATTTAGGAGGAAAAAAAATCCAGACCAGCCTGTGATACTTGAAAGTTTTCTTTTTTTTTTTTTAAATAAATAAATTTATTTATTTATTTATGCTGTGTTGGGTCTTTGTTTCTGTGCGAGGGCTTTCTCTAGTTGCGGCGGGAGCCACTCTTCATCGCGGTGCATGGGCCGCTTACTATCGCAGCCTCTCCACAGAGCACAGGCTCCAGACGCGCAGACTCAGTAGCTGTGGCTCACGGGCTCAGTTGCTCCGCGGCATGTGGGATCTTCCCATACCAGGGCTCGAACCCGTGTGCCCTGTATTGGCAGGCAGATTCTCAACCACTACGCCACCAGGGAAGCCCCTTGAAAGTATTCTGAATGCACAACGCGCAGTTGTCCTTAATAGACTAATAGATTAATAGACCTCTCCTGCCACCTGGTGGACAAATTGTGCAGCACAGCTTCGCGTGAGCAGTCTCAGGGTCCTAGTCCCCAAACACATGTAACTTATTTATTTTTTGTAATAACGTTTACCAAGCAATTTCTCTGCTGGGATATCATCCACTGAATATATATTGGCACGTGTGTGTGTGTGTGTGTGTGTGTGTGTGTGTGTGTATATACACATCAATAAAAATGTTCATTGTAGCATCTGAGATACAAATAAATTGGAATCAGTCTAACTGACCCTTGGTTAGAAACTCTTATACTTTTCCCATAGAATACCAGAAAGCTTATTAAAGAACTGGGTGGAAGTATATGCTATTAACATACAAACGTATATGCTAATCAGAAAAGCAAAGTGTATAAACTACAATTTCATTCATATGAAAATATACTTTATATGCTTGTAAATACATGTAAACTGTATGGACACATACACAACACACCAAAAAGAACTCTAAGAAAATTACCTTTAAGCAGTGAAAGTGAGAGATTGACTTTCACTCCCTATTTTGTATCGTCAACTTTGTTGAATTTATTTATTAGTTCTAGTAACTTTTAATGGATTGTTTATGATTTTCTATAATTAGGATCATGTCATGTGTATATACAGATAGGTTTACTTCCTCCTTTCCAATATGGATGCCTAATATTTCTTTTTCTTGTCTAATTGATCTGGCTAGAACTTCCAATACAATGTTAAATGGTAGCAGTGAGGGCTTCCCTGGGGGCGCAGTGGTTAAGAATCCGCCTGCCAATGCAGGAGACACGGGTTCAAGCCCTGGACCGAGAAGATTCCACATGCCACGAAGCAACTAAGCCCGTGTGCCACAACTACAGAAGCTGCGCTCTAGAGCCCACAAGCCACAACTACTGAGCCCACGTGCCACAACTACTGAGCCCACGTGCCACAACTACGAAGCCCGTACGCCTACAGCCCATGCTCTGCAACAAGCCTGTGCACCTCAATGAAGAGTAGCCCCTGCTCACTGCAACTAGAGAAAAGCCCACACAAAGACCCAATGCAGCCATAAATAAATAAATAAATGAATTTATAAAGAAAAAAATAGTAGTGGTGAAAGTGGGCATCCTTGTCTTGTTCGTGATCTGAGAGGGAAAGATTTCAGTCTTTCACCATTGAGTAAGAAGTTAGGGCTTCCCAGGTGGCGCAGTGGTTGAGAGTCCGCCTACCGATGCAGGGGACACGGGTTCGTGCCCCGGTCCGGGAAGATCCCACATGCCGCGGAGCGGCTGGGCCCGTGAGCCATGGCCGCTGAGCCTGCGCGCCCGGAGCCTGTGCTCCGCAATGGGAGAGGCCACAACAGTGAGAGGCCCGCGTACCGCAAAAAAAAAAAAAAAAGAAGTTAGCTGTGGGTTTTTCACAAGTATCCTTTATTATGTTGAGAAGGTTAACTTCCCTAGTATTCCAAGTGTTTTCTCTAATGAAATGGTGTTGGATTTTGTCAAATGCCTTTTCTGTATCAATTGAGATGATCATGTGATTTTTTGTTTTGTTTTGTTTTTATATGCAAATGTTCATAGCAGCTTTATTCATATTTTCCAAAAATTGGAAACAAAATGTTCATTAACAGGAGAATAGCTAAACAAATTGTGGTACATTCATACAATGGAATACTACTCAGCAATAAAAATAAATACATGGTTCAACCTCTCAAAACTTTATACTAATGAAAGCATTAAGTGATTCAATTTAGTTTCAGAGCTGGGGTGGGGAGGGAAACCCTAGTCTATGGTGAAAAAATATGGATAGTAATTAAACTACCAACTAAAGTAGGGGTAGTGCTTTGTTGCTTAGGTAGGGGTATAAGGGAACCTTCCTTTGTCCTGATATGGCTGTGGGCTAAAAATATCCATTTTCAAAATTGTAGTTAAGATTTGTGTATTTCAATTTTATAAATCTTACCTAATAAGAGGTATGTATATATGAATATGGATAGATGAATGTACCAAAGCAGAATTGAGGACTATCGAAGCTAGGGTGTGAAGGTTCAAGGTACAATTTTTTTTTAATATACATCCAATTAAGATGTTTAATTACAAATCTCGACATATTTTTATGGGCTCCTAGCTCACATATCCAACAGCATATTGGACATCTCTTGACACTGCCAATGGTTTTCTTCCAATCTTAGTCACATAACAGATCTCTATGACCCTGCCTCAATTTCATCCTAGGTTTCTGGTTTGAACAACTCAGGAAAATGCTAGATTGCAAGAAGTAGTCTGAAGAGGGTTCAGTTTGGGGTAAGAATTGTGACTTGTCATCTTGTAAAGGACTAATAAAGTAGCCCCTAAGGAGCAAACATAAGTGGGAAGAAACTAGAAAAGTAAAACAAACTGATGGTGATCAACAGTGGACATGCTTGCAGTGAACTCAGAAAGTCTCTGAAGGTAGGAATGGGTGGATAGAATCCAAAGGACCAATACTTCTTTCATTATGACAAAAAGGGTAGATGAGAATGTCAAGTTTGAAGGTGGGTAGCCAGGAAATGGTGAGTTATCTGACTAGGACAATAAAAGCCTTTTATTTTTCATAGTGTGATATCACATTTACCATATTTTTCAGATTATGTCCCTGAATCTGATTAACACCAAGTGTCTGCCAAACTCAGTTACCTGTTCATGTAAAAGAATCTGGTGCTGTAGGTATTGCACACATATGTAACAACCTGCTTTTCTATGATCAACCCTTTTTAACTCAGATGATGAGATATGTACCTGCATGGCACAATGATCAAAAGCTTATAACTCTGTTCTAGTTAATAGAAATAACCATGAGTTAAACTCTGCCCCCACTCCACCATCAAGAGCCTATTTCATAATAAATGTTAGACTATTCCACCTTCAAACTTTTCACTTTTCTAGCTCCAAACTCTAGCATTCTTATTCTTACTACTTACACCCTCTCTACTCTTTGATATCCTGGTATATAGCCCGGATGATTTCCTTTGAGCTTCAGGTATGAAGCCACTAACAAAAAAATGTTTAAATCTGTTCTCCCAGGAGCTTAGAGATCTTATCTTTATGACAACTCCCATAAATCTTAAAAAATGATCATTAAATATTGATTTACTCAATTAATTATAAAAACTTTAGATGTCTAGTATTTGGTCATGTATACTATTTTAAAAAATACATCAACAGAAAACTTTCTGAATGTCACTAGACAACGAATTAAGCAAATCTTTATTGAAGCTTAAACTGTGGTACAGAAATACATTTCAACTGATTTAAGTCCAACACCATGAAGAGGGAAATTATGGCACCAAAATTTTCCCTCCTCTATCATACACACTAGGATTAATTTAGATTACTATCCAATCTATAGTTTTCATTTTTCTAGGCTTTGTTCCATACAAATTTGTGCAGTTTCTCAACATTAAATGGAAATCTTAAATCTATTGGGCCGGGGCAGGGGGCGGGAATCAGACCTCAAGCAAATAAATGTTCATCAAATCTACTGGGACACTGTTCAAGAACAAAATCCACTTTGACCACTGGTCCTCATAATAGCACCAAAACATTAGGTACTGCGCGCTAATTACAGAACCGGACTGATCCATTGATTGAAAGCTTCTTCAATGAAGCTCTGAATCAACAACGTGTTTAAAAGTCAAAATTGTTCCAACCACTTGATTTCAAACCAAGTAGAATTTATGTTTAGAAACACTAAAAAAAAAGTGTTTCATTTATAAATATGGAAGGAACAAAAACATCACTGCATCAATCCAGAAAGAATCAAAAATTGTTTGAGGACAAGAAGAAATACAAAATTGAGTCAACTTTGCTCTTTTCTCAGCTGCTTAAATAAATGTCCGTATTAGCAAATACAGCTAAAAGATGCCAACTCTTTTAAGCCTGTATTTCTAGTCATTTCCCATTGACCATTTTGGAATTTTGTGTGTTATGTTTTATGGATAGCGCTCTGCTTCACTGTGTAGTATGTCTGAATAACCTGAACAGTTCTCATTCATCACTTGATGTTACTCCATGGAGAAAGAAATACCAGTAAGAGGAACCATCAGAACACTATCACATGCATCACAAAGTCACATAACTTTTTAAGTCACAAGATGGCAAAGAAATCGATTCTGCTTTGAACCAAAGTTTATGGCATATCATTAATAGAAATGAGTGGAAATGGCTATGAAAGTAAAAGTTGAGGTGAATCATCTGAGCTGACTTGACTTGTTGAATCCAACACAACCTTTATCTTAAATCTCCTTGCTAACAAATTTAGTTATAATTTTTTATACTACTACTTAGCAAGTTAATAAAGACATGGGACCCATGAGAAGCTAATCTCATTTAATGGGGGGCACAGAATGGCATACAGTTTCCATACAGTTCTGCCAATATTCCCTAGTATCAATCTACACCTTCTTTGCTAATCAACACCAGCTTATTTCAAAAGACCTCATGGTAACGAAAAATGCCAAACTCCCTTGACCTTAAAAGAAAATTAAGCCCAGGGTCCATCCCCCCATTCCCCTTCTAGGGTATAAGGTTAGTGTAAACCCACAGTGTAACAGTGTATTGCTTTATGGAGGGGGTGTGGTTGGGAGGGAGATACCATGGTGAGGAATGAATCAATTAAAGTCACACAAGTATAGGAAGCAGTGAGATAGTAATACACAAAATGGATAACTGCAGTCATTTTCGTAGAGGACTCGACTCGTGGAAGAAGAACTTTGATTGGTGCTGCAAGAACACCTGTATGAAGTAGAAACTGGTTTCAATAACATTAGTAGAGAATATGTTCTAGAAAGTGGAGGTAACTGGATGCAAAATCCTGGTAGCAATTTAATAGAACAGTCCCAGATGGCTAGGCTGAGGCCAACACCTAATGAGGACAAAAGCCTTGTCTGTGGGGAATTTTGGATGATACCTGGAGAAATACTACACTGTGCATAAACCAAACTGAGTTGTTTTCACAAGTGTTGTAAAGTTTCATATAGTAAAAGGTTTTTTCTACATGCACTTCAATTTCACAGCAAGAGTGGCATAGGATACCTAAACGCAGAAGAGAGCATGCATGCAAGATATCTAACTCCTTGATATAATAATGCATACAATTCAAAATGATTACACTATCATTACATCTAGGGCTTTCTGCAACTACAAGGTGGTGGTTATGGAAAGCATGGCCCTTGGTATCAATATCTAAAAAGCAGCCACCACCTTCTTCTATGTGTGTTCTCTTTTTGCGTTTTTTCTTCATTTTTCTTAATCAACTCTGCTGTTGTTGCTGCTTCTCAGCAAAACTGGTAAAAACAAAATTGTAATCACTGAACATAGCGCTCTGGCAATCAAGACGTTTAAAACCTTCAATACTCTGGGGCGGAGAAAGCACTGTGCGACATTTAGAACTCTGATTTACAAACAGGGTAGTCACAAATTTTCCTGGCTTGAAGACTTCCACAACTTTCCTGATCAGGTCATCATAGGAGGTCTGACTTAAGTTTGTTTCAAAGCTAACATAAGAAAATTCTGGTTCTGAGTGATGTGAATAGTCCAATAAGTTCCATCCAATTTCATTCCATTCATTGAATACCCACAAGGATTGAACAGTGTGGCATCAATGACAGAACCTGGTATCAGGTCACGAATTCCACTCTCACGAGTGACATCCTTTGCAGTAACACCATCTTTCATGTAGAACTGGTCCATAACTGCTGGGTCAAGCTCACTCAACAGAATTTCCAGGGTTTGATCCGGCTGATTGATTACCCGACTCTCTGGGAAATCCAAAGTACAAAAGCACCAACAATCAGAATTCATGCGTCCCATACAATATGTTGCTCCATTTGGGAAAATTGCATTAAGAAACTCTATTTCTTCCTGGAAATTCCGGTGTGGGTACCCTTGGTGAGAAGGCTTCATGAAATTCTTACGAGAATAAAAGAAGCTTTGAATTGAGTCAAACCCACTGTAATCCCTAGCAAGTTTCAACAGGGGAACCAGTGCTTTCAGCAAGAGGGTGGTACCACATGTCTTCAAAATGAAACGTCTCTTGGAGACAAACATGCTACTCTGAGTACATAAGCTTCCTGCTTGTCAGTTTTTGTCACACTTATGATTGAACATAGCACATCCTTCAAAAGTATGTCCCACTCGGATCTTGGGATGGTGCAAAGATCCCCAGATCCTTGGTTTGCGTTGGGTTGCTGCCTGGAGAACTAAACCTCCAGCAGCTTCTCAGTCCCTTCGAAAAAATGTGCAGCTTCCATCACCGTGAGACTAGCGAACAACCAACAACCACAGAAAATCAACTAAATTAAATCTCTTCTCCTGCTGCTGCCGCCGCCACTGAGGATTATTCCAGCTGTGTTACTAAAGTTCAGGTTCCTTTTTTGCTATAATTTTATATTAACTTTTTTTAAAAAGCGTTAATAAAATTTTCCCGGCTTTTTTTTGTGTGTGTGTGAGCAAAAGTTGAAACAGAGGCAGATACAGAGGAAACAGAGGCAGATACAGCTCAGTCTCTTGTAGTCCGCTGTTTCCCCGTTAGAGAGAGTAGAGCGAGCGCTAGCTAATGTCGCCGGCCATACTGTGGGAGAGATCATGTGATTTTAAAAAATTCATTCTATTAACGTGATGTATTACATTGATTTTATTATGTTGAACCAACCTGACATTCTGAGGTAAATCCCACTTGGTCATGGTGTATAATCCTTCAAATATGATGTTGGCTTTGGTTTGCTAGTATTTTGTTGAGGATTTTTTTTTTTTTTTGCGGTACGCGGGCCTCTCACTGTTGTGGCCTCTCCCGTTGCGGAGCACAGGCTCCGGACGCGCAGGCTCAGCGGCCATGGCTCACGGGCCCAGCCGCTCCGCGGCATGTGGGATCTTCCCAGACCGGGGCACGAACCCGCGTCCCCTGCACCGGCAGGCAGACTCTCAACCACTGCGCCACCAGGGAAGCCCTTGTTGAGGATTTTTGCATGTATATTCATAAGGGATACTGCATTATCTCCAAATACAGTCACATTGGAAGTTGGGGTTTCAAATATGAATGTTGGGGTCAATCTACAGATTTAATGTGATCCCTATCAAATCACCCATGACGTTTTTCACAGAACTAGAACAAATAATCCTAAAATTTATAGGGAACCATAAAAGACCCAGAATTGCTAAAGCAATCCTGAAGAAAAAGAACAAAGCGGGAGGCATAACCCTCCCAGACTTCAGAAAATACTACAAAGCTACAGTAATCGAAACAGAGTGGTACTGGCACAAAAACAGATACGTGGATCAATGGAACAGAATAGAGAGCCCAGAAATAAACCCACACACCTACAATCAATTAATATTCAAAAAAGGAGGCAAGAATATAAAAAGGGGAAAAAGACAGTCTCTTCAGCAAGTGGTGCTGGGAAATTTGGACAGCTGCATATAAATCAATGAAGTTAGAACACACCCTCACACCATGCACAAAAATAAACTCAAAACGGCTTAAAGACTTAAACATAAGATATAACACCATGAAACTCCTAGAAAAGATCATAGGCAAAACATTCTCTGACATAAATTGTACCAATATTTTCTTAGGTAAGTCTCCCAAAACAATAGAAATAAAAACAAAAATAAACAAATGGGACCTAATCAACCTTACAAGCTTCTGCACAGCAAAGGAAAACATAAACAAAATGAAAAGACAACCTACAAAATGGGAGAAAATATTTGCAAACGATGCAACCGACAAAGGATTGATTTCCAAAACATACAAACAGCTCATACAATTCAACAACAATAAAAAACAAACAACTCAATCGATAAAAGGGCAGAAGACGTAAATAGACATTTCTGCAAAGAAGACATACAGATGGCCAATAGGCACATGAAAAGATGCTCAACATCACTAATCATTAGAGAAATGCAAATCAAAACCATAATGAGGTACCATCTCACACCAGTCAGAATGGCCATCATTAAAAAGTCTACAAACAGGGCTTCCCTGGTGGCTCAGTGGTTAAGAATCCACCTGCCAGTGCAGGGGACACAGGTTCGAGCCCTGGTCTGGGAAGATCCCACATGCCACAGAGCAACTAAGCCAGTGAACCACAACTACTGAGCCTGCACTCTAGAGCCCGCGAGCCACAACTAGTGAGTCCGTGTGCCACAACTACTGAAGCCCGCGTGCCTAGAGCCCGTGCTCCGCAACAAGAGAAGCCACCACAATGAGAAGCCCGCGCACCGCAACAAAGAGTAGCCCCTGCTCGCCACAACTAGAGAAAGCCTGCGTGCAGCAACAAAGACACAGCCAAAAAATAAAAATAAATTTATTTAAAAAAAGAGAAAAGGTCTACAAACAATAAATGCTGGAGAGGGTGGGGAGAAAAGGGGACTCTCTTACACTGCTGGTGGTAACGTAAATTGGTGCAGCCACTATGGAAAACAGTAGGGAGGTTCCTCAAAAAAACTAAAAATAGAGTTGCCATATGATCCAGCAATTCCACTCCTGGGCACATACTCATTCAAAACTATAATTCTAAAAGATACATGCAGGGACTTCTCTGGTGGTCCAGTGGTTAAGAATCAGCACTTCCATTGCAGGGGCACAGGTTCAATCCCTGGTTGGGGAACTAAGATCCTGCATGCCACATGGCACAGCCAAAAAAAAAAATTAAATTAAAATTAAAGATACATGCACCCCTATGTTCATAGCAGCGCTATTTACAATAGTCAAGACATGGAAACATAGAGAAATACAAATCCACAATGAGGTATCACCTCACATCAGTCAGAATGGCCATCATCAAAAAATATACAAACAATAAATGCTGGAGAGGGTGTGGAGAAAAGGGAACCCTCCTGCACTGCTGGTGGGAATGTAAACTGATACAGTCACTATGGAGAACAGTATGGAGTTTCCTTAAAAAACTAAAAATAGAACTACCATATGACCCAGCAATCCCACTACTGGGCATATACCCTAAAAAAACCATAATTCAAAAAGATACATGTACTGCAATGTACATTGCAGCACTATATACAATAGCCAGGCCATGGAACCAACCTAAATGTCCATCAACAGATGAATGGATAAAGAAGATGTGGCACATATATACAATGGAATATTACTCAGCCAACAAAAGTAATGAAATTGAGTTATTTATAATGAGGTGGATGGACCTAGAGTCTGTCATACAGAATGAAGTAAGTCAGAAAGAGAAAAATACCGCACGCTAACACACATATATGGAACCTGAAAAAACAGTAATGATGAACCTAGTGGAAGGGCAGGAATAAAAATGCAGACGTAGAGAACAGACTTGAGGTCACAGGGCGGGAAGCGGAAGCTGGAACGAAGTGAGAGAGTAGCACTGACATATATACACTACCAAATGTAAAATGGATGGCTAGTGGGAAGCTGCTGCATAGCACAGGGAGATCAGCTCGGTGCTTTGTCACCACTTAGAGGGGTGGGAGGGAGGCTCAAGAGGGAGGGGACATGGGGATATATGTATACATATAGCTGAATCACTTTGTTGTACAACAGCAACTAACACAACATTGTAAAGCAGTTATACTCCAATAAAGATATTTTTTTAATTAAATAAATACTTTTAAAATTTTATTTTAAAAATAAAATAAATAAAAGTAAAAACATAGTATCATATCACACACACACAAACCTAAATGTCCATTGACAGATGAATGGATAAAGAAGATGGGATATACACACACACACACACACACGCATATATATATATATATAAATAATATGATATCACTTATATGTAGAATATAAAATATAATACAGGGACTTCCCTGGTAGTGCAGTGGTCAAGAATCTGGCTGCAAGGTACACGGGTTCGAGCCCTGGTCCCGGAAGATCCCACGTGCCGCAGAGCAACTAAGCCCGTGCGCCACAACTACTGAGCCTGCGCTCTTTTCTTTGTCCAGCCTTAACCAGTGCTGCACCTGCTTACACCCATTCTTGGAGGACCCTAGCTGATTCACTGAAGAACTCCAGGGACTAAATTTCTCCTTCGACTTCACTTAGAAGGACCTGAATGTTGTCATTTCCCACTGTTGCACCCCTGAGGAAAAGACCTACATTTGGGCAGAGGCTCAAGCATATGCTGATGGATTACACACTGCCCCACCCAATCATTATCCTGTGGGCATGATGGTGGTACCACTGATTGATCCCAATTGGGAGTATCAGCCAGGCTAAACTGGTATCCCTAAAAGAGACCACATGATCCTTTGCCTCATTGAAGGGATGAAACTATACATAATTAAACCTGTCATTTATGGTAAGGTTAAAGAGATCACTCAAGGTCAGGACAAAAATCCAGCCCTATTTCAGGCCAGGCTGGTAGATGCCCTCTAAAAGTATATGACTGTTGACCCAAACACTTTTTGAGGGACACATTGTACTTGCAATCCATTTCATTAGCTTGTCAGCCCCCAACATCTGTCAAAAGCTTGCCATGGGGCCCCCAAACCCCTTGCAACCTTACTGATATGGCCTTCAGTGTCTTTAACAGCAGAGACCAGGCTGAGGAGGAAAGAAAGGAACAGCATGACTTAAGGGACCATTAGCAAGCCAAGCTTCTGGCAGCCATCATGGCAGGACCTAACTCACCTCCTGGTCACCCCAAAGGCACTCCCAGAAGCCCCCCGCCAGGTAAAGGAGCCTGTTTTAACTATGGGAGCCCCAAACACTGGAGCAAGGAATGCCCAGAAAACAGGTTCCAGCCTCCACCCAAGACACCATGCCCACTCTGTAAGAAGATGGGCCACTGGAGAAGGGAATGCCCTCAGCTCCAAAGGGAGTGGGGAAATTGCCCCTTGCCAGTCATGGCAGTGGTTGATTGATGGGACCTGGGACCTCCCAAGAAGAAAGTCATTATCACATGGGAGGAACCACAGGTGACCACTGACATGGCAGGTTGTCCAGTTTCTACTAGACATAGGAGCCACTTACTCTGTCCTGACTTCTCACGCTAGGCTCCTTGCCCCCAAAACCTGCTCTATTGTTGGGGGAGAAGGAAGGCCAAAATGAAAACATTTCACCACCCCTCTAACTTGCAGCTGGGGAAAGACTC